TGGGAATGAGACTCGCTATCTCACAACCCTACATCACCTTGACTAATGGGCATTATTTTTTTTAGAAGCAATAAATTTCCTGGTATTCATGAGGGTTTTTGTATTATTACTTTTTATTACACGTTGTGAAGACACGTTTGAGTTTAAACAAATAAAAAATGGTACTTATATTCGGGAGCTGTCAAAGGACGAATTTCAAGGAATGCACCCAGAGCACGTTTTAACGTAAAAATATATATTATTTTTAAGATAAGCCTCATAAATATATTCATAGTGTAGAGTTTAACATTTAATCAGCTGGCTTGTCTATTTTATACAGCTTATTTCATTGTTTTCCGAGTTTGAAGCATGAGAAAGATATCTAATCATTTCACTGAATTCCTTCCAACACATGTGAGAGAAGGTGTTCTATTTGCAACTGTTATTTTACTGATAGGAGTGTTGAGGTGGAACATTACAACAAATATGGTTCTACAACGAAATATGTTTTAACGTTAAGTTATTGTAAATTATTCAAGGTAATATGTTTTAACATAAACCGATTACACGTTCTGCAACGTACTATTTTTAAAGTAAACTGATTGTAGGGTCCTCAACGAAATACGTTTGACGTAAATTTGCAGGTTCTGCAAAGTAATATGTTTTAACTTAAAGGAGTTGCAGGTTCGGCAACGTAATATGTTTGAATGCACTTTTGTAGGATTTGCAACGTAGTATGTTTAACGTTAATTGATTACAGGTTTTACAATGCAGTATGTTTTAACGTAATCTAATTGAAGGTTCTACAACGTAATATGTTTGAATGTTAACTGATTTCAGGTTTGCTTGCAACGTAATATATTTTAACGTTCACTGTTTGCAGGTTTGGTTGAATGTTAACTGATTACAGGCTCTGAAATGAAATATGCTTCATAGCGAAATGTTTTACGTAAACGTATTAGGCACAGTTTCCTGTAGCATAAATAATACACCGATGACAATAAATACGAATAACCAAAACGACCGTACACATGCAGAATGGTCTGAAATAACCAATACAATTTAGATTGTAAATAAAATAATTTCTTCTTATATTTAAATCATTTTATTATGTCTTATATATTTATGTGTAATGCTAATAAATATGGTGTTTTTTATTGCCCTCTTGTTTTTAGTGTAGACAACCTTGTCTATACAGTATGTTCGCTCTCTGTGGCTCAGTGGTATTATTGGAGGCTTATAACGCTAAAATTGGGTTTCGATACCCGCGGTGAGAAGAGCACAGATGTAGCTTTAACACTGGTTAAACATAAAATAAGATATTATCAAAAAGTATTCTTGTAAATAGCTATTAGTTAAAATGTTCAGTTCAAATTTCGAGTTTTAATATCTTCATCATTTCCACCAACTTGATCAGAATTTATAAGTGAGATATAAACATTCGCTAGTAACAATGTTCTATGTAGTTTCAGGAACGTTCTCATTTAGTAAATTATTCATACATAATGTGTGAAATTTACTTGGAAAATAAAGCTCGCGTAATATATAATGCTATTCTAATAGTGAACGTATTACAAAATTTACATGGTAAGTAAATCTTGCGTAATACATAATGCTATTCTAATAGTGAACGTATTACAAAATTTACATGGTAAGTAAATCTTGCGTAATACATAATGCTATTCTAATAGTGAACGTATTACAAAATTTACATGGTAAGTAAATCTTGCGTAATACATAATGCTATTCTAATAGTGAACGTATTATTAAATTTACACTGGAAATAAAGCTTGCGTAATAAATAATGATATTCTAATGATGAACATAATACCAAATTTACTTGAAAAGTGAAGCTTGCGTAATACATAATGCTTTGGACATTCTCTGTTTAATGCATCTTTCAAAAGACTTTCAATAGACGTATATTAATATCAACGTTAAATGAACAATGTTTAAACATATGACTTCCATCAGGCTGTTTACGTTATCTATACCTAGGGAATACTAATTTTTCATCCGAGCTTTGCAAATACGTCAAAGTTCTTTTATGTTTTTTATTTTATAATGTTTACATATGGTAGCGGCTTGACATGGATGATTAAGACGAACTCTAATTTAAAATAAAGAAGAAGAAAAAGGTTATAAATTAGAGAGTTCAGAAGAACAACACTTTGTCAGGAATACCGTCATGTCTATAGGGAAGGATAAAACAGTTCCAGTAAAATAACACTTTGTCAGTGTGCTTCTACAAAGAATTTTCTTGGGGAAGGATAAAGGAACAGCTATCTGTGTTTTCCTTGTGGTTTAATCAATGATAGTCCCAAAATAGTCCCAGAATGCAACTTTTTCTGATTATTGGGATCCAATTGACTTTATTTTGTGATAACTTATTTTCTGTGAACTATGGAAATACTAAATTATAACTTTTCGTAAAATGTTTTGAAGTCAGAACTTTTGAATGGTTAACGTACGTTTATAACTCTTGATGAAATACAATAGAACTTGCTTTATTGTTATCCTTGTCTCACTCTGCACTTCCTTCTAAGCTTTGAACTTCTTATAGCTTCATACTGAATATATATTCTTGTGTAGAGGTAAAACACTTGTACCCGATGACGACAAAATCTTTTCGAAATGTTGTACATTTGTTACTATGTTAAACTGGTTATAAAGTTTCGTCGTCAACCATTGAAGTCGTCTTCAAACTTTATAGGAGTTTCTCTTTCCCTGAAATGACTTTAACTCCCTGACGTATAAATAGAAACGTAATATACGAGCACTGTCAGGAGAACGAATGTATTCTATTCATGAGAAATGTGTAGATTAATAAATTTAACTTTATAGCTCGGCTTTAATAACTTGAATATTACTCTCTTCAGACGATGCGCTATGTAAACACATTTAATAATCCTGTCCCACTTTTAGATTAAACAGCCGTTCATAATTCAACAGGTAAACACATGTAATAATCCAATCACACAGTTATTTTAAGCAACTGTACAGAATTCACCGGATAAACACATTTAATAATCCAGGGCCCGGCATGGCCAGGTGGTTAAGGCACTCGACTCGCAATCTGAGGGTCGTGGGTTCGAATCCCCGTCACACCAAACATATTCGCCCTTTCAGCCGTGGGGGCGTTATAATGTGACGGTCAATACCACTATTCGTTGGTAAAAGAGTAGCCCAAGAGTTGGCGGTGGGTGGTGATGACTAGCTGCCTTCCCTCTAGTCTTACACTGCTAAATTAGGGACGGCTAACGCAGATAGCCCTCGTGTAGCTTTACGCGAAATTCAAAAACAAAAACAAAACAAAATAATAATCCAGTCACACAGTTATTTTAAACAGCTATCAAGACACACGGTAGTAAGTCGTGCGGCCTGCAGAAGACATTGTGTGTTGTTTACAGAAGTGGTAGTTTAGCGATTTTCCACCTTGTGTATCTCGGACTGTGGTAACCCATACTATCATATTATATTCTTGTGGATATGCTCTATTGTCACCTTACTTCACATACCAAATTTCATAGCCATCCGTTAACAAACACATGAGATATGAAATCTCCAAGTACAGAAACTTTATTTGACAGAATATCTTTTATAGATTTTTTTCAAATTTAGTATTCAGGTAGATCTTTACAATCTAAAATTAGGTGTCAAATTTGGTTTAAATATAAGCCGCATGTGCAAATTCATTCAACAAAAACCGCTCAAACTTGACCAAAATTTTTGCGCACTTCTTCACAAAAAGTCACGTAAGCTATCAGTCTATAATTTTTACTTCAGCATCATCTAAATGCAAAAGTGAACTGTTTTTAGATTTTTGCAATTAGGATTAAAGACAGCTGATTTTGAGCAGCAAAACTATAATGTGCAAGGACGTGCAGATACATAAGTATTGGTTAGGCCAAGCAAACTAGATTAGCAGATTCTAGCTCAAATTTTCAAAAGAATTATACGGGTGGACGGTTTTTATTCATTATTCATTGCCAACTTTTAAGCAGAAATTTTTTAACTTTTATTAAATTATCTTACGTGATATTAGCTTAAGCAATTAACGTAGATAATGATGCTTGATACGGCTGTATCTATTTCATGCGGGTGATGACAAGAAACCGTTAATCTAGATTCCATGGCGTTACTATAAAAGAAGCTGTTAACACTATTAAGAATCTGGTTGATTCTGTAAAGTAAAGGTCTGTTCCGAAAATTATGGTTGTGATCCGAAGGCTAATGTTGGTTCCTTTCGAGTGTCACTTTCTTATTTGGTGTGGTATGCTGGTGTGTTGACAAAAAGTCATATCATCTCATCAAAAACGCCTTAGGTGTGAAAAAAAGGTGCGGCCAAAAAAAGGATTGAGTGTGCGATGTAAATGAATGTTTTACCCACTATCATGCCCCAAATTTAATAAAATACGTGTACTGGCTAACTAATGAATGAATATTTGCTGTAAAATTCTTATCAATATTATAAGTGTAGCTACCAGTTTGGCCGTCAGTTTTGATTTCATTCTTTTAAGTTGCACGCTCGATCCATTTTTGGCTGCACCTTTTTTTTTTTCACACCTAAGGTGTTCCTGATTAGATTCAGAAGTAACCGGGTATACTCATTTAATAATCCAGTCCATCGTTATTTTAAGCAGTTCTTCAGAATTCTACAGTGGAGTAAAGTGGCTTGATATTCGAATTTTATTGTTAATCACTGGAAAAATGCTTCAATTACTTTAATGAAAATATTTCTAATGTAAGAATATCGTTGAATAAGTTACAGTTCTTGATCGAGAAATACGAGTCTAATTTTTCAAATACATTAGATACACAAGCAGGCAATGGTAATCATCAAGACTATTAAACTATATATCGTTGTTACTGAGATACCTTGTTACCATTATAATAAAAGAAAAAAACACGCCGAAACTACTTGAAGACCAGATAATAACAACAAAAATTGATTGAAGAAGATAATATACGTGATTACTTTACGTAAGGACTTGCGAGATAGACAAGACATTAGCTCTTACCTGACAGGGCAACTGGACTTAATATCAACAAGTAGAGATAAGTGTGAAGACGCCACTTGGTCATTTCATTGTTTGGTGGTTGACTTCTCTATTAAGTCTCTTGCTCTTGCTTGCTTTACACTGCTGGCGGATTTTCTAATAATGGACGAAGAAGCTATACGAAAGAAGGATGGATTACTCTTGGCTTACAACTACTTAACGAGATGGAGCTCAAATGTACGTGTTACATGGGTTATCTAAAAGCTATTTAAATCCATGGTTTTTGTCCACGCAGTACAAGTGATCGAAGCAAGCGTAGGGCGCATCTGTTTACTAGCGAAGAGCTCAGCATTCTGCTTCCAAGAGAAGAAACGGTTGGTTATCCGCTGTGCAGCTCGCCACCTGGATATGCCACTAGGTAGCGCTCTTTTCATACGAGAAGTCTCTTCGCTATTCCGAAAGTAATTTCTATGATTAGTTTGAAACCATGTAAAAAAATTTGCAGAATGAACTTAACCAAATATATAAATATGTTCTTAACTTCTTAAATTTAAACATTATGTTAGAATTATTTTGCTAAAATTCTATTATTGTTTCATATAAACATGTGTTTTGTTTTTGCATCTCTTTTTTGTTAGGGATACCGAATGGGTGCGATTTATTTAACCTATTGAGACAGTTTTGTTTTCTGTAATTGTACAAGTTTCATATTAAGATACTTAGATTATTCAAAGTATTGAAATAAAATCCGTATTGAAATTCAAAGATGTATAAGTATAATAGATTAACTTGTAAAACATATATATATATAACATCGTATGACAGATTAAGTATAATAGCTTATTGTGTATATTACGTATCGTATACGATTAGTATAAAATACGCGTGTCTAAATAATATTGTACTCTGAGTGATTTATTCGTTTTTGGTACTGAAAGAGCTCAAATAAACATAGAAAACGTAAATATATATATGATGCTTATGTCAAAAGAAAAACACAATGGCTTAGGTTTCAATAGCGAAATAGAAAATACTGTAAAGCAAACCCTTGGAAAAGATAATATCATTAATACTGGAGAGAATATTACTTCGTGTCCGAGTATTAGAATAATTATCACTCAGCTTTGTTTCATTCTCATGCTGGGCTAAGCGCGTGCTGGTTTGTGGAGCTAAGGTCCATGGTTTGAGTCCCGTCACCAAAGAAAAAGTAATAATCGTGCTCCGCACATTAGAGCCGTGGGTGCTTTATAAGAATGGCAGTTATATCCCATCATTTGTTCTAACAAAAGCAGCCCTAGAGTTGGCGCTGGGTGATGTTTGCTAGCTGATTTCCGGCTAGTCTATCACTGATAAATTAGGGACAGCTAGCGCAGTTAAACTTCGTGTAGCTTTGCGCTAAACCCAAAAAAGAAACTTCACATTCGACTCATCGAGGTGGGGAAGACTTCGTCAAACAACACGATTATAATACCGTCAGTGCAACCTGAAAAAAAAAAAGACCAAAGAAATTCTCGGTGAATTTCTTGTCAATGGGAACATGGTAATAAAGACAAGTTTTACCCAGAAGGGATCAGTGGCTGGTTTGAGGTAGTGTTTATAAGATTAGTGATATTGCAATATATTGTGATTTAGTGTTCTGTGTGTGTGTCATATATGTTGCAATACGAGAAATAAACAGAATTTATGGATTAGATTTCAGACTTTTTTTCCCATTAATTTGAATTAATATTGTTGTTTTTCTGTTTATTTTTAAACTAATAATGTTGCGTAAAGAGAACATTATGAAAATACAGTGCATATATATATATATATATATATATATGAATAATTATTTTAGTTTATACTCTTGATACCAGTGTTTGGTTTGTCATTCAGGCGTACGCTTTGGTATTTCGATAAAGTTCAGATCTAATTATACATTATTTCAGTAATGAACATTAACAATAAGAGTAGTTTACTTTAATTTACAGCTTATGTCTTTCGTTAGTCCCTCATCTGTGCTAATTTTGTAGATTTAGGCCTCCAAGACTTTCCCCAGAAGTGTCACTAAATAGTTGCTGCCCATTTAACCTTTGTTTTACTTCAAAGATATGTTTCACATGAGATCGAAAAGTCAGCAAGAGAAAACGTGGTATGAAATCACTCTTCCAAACAGACTTCCAAAATTTCACGTATTTTACATGTACATTTTATATTAAGAATACGAGTAAAATGTCATCTGCGTGGAAAAGCTTGCATGAGGGTTTCGATACCCGTGGTGGGCGGAGCACAGATAACCCATTGTGTAGCTTTGGGCTTAATTCCAAACAAACAAACAGCAGAGAAAATAATCCTGAAATTGAAAACCAATATATGGATTTTCAGCTTCTTGTTTTAATAGTAATATTTGTCTAGAAATGAACTCTAATGTGTGATTGGTTTATTAATTTGAATATTAACGTTTATATCTTATGACATTTTGTATGATAACGTTTCCTTGAAGGCTATTATTCCTTTATTTATTTTACTATTAATTTTTTATATGGCATAGTATTTTTCTTATTTCGTTACAACTGTGAATAAAATCACTCTAATTGAACGATGTTAAGATATAAAAATGTGTTCACTTCTCATCAAACATAAATAGAAATTATTTCAAGACATTTCAAGTTGCGTAAAATTAGAAATCCTTGAAACAAAAGTAAGGTAGAAAAGACCGGCTCGATGTTAATCATATCTCACAAATACCACATTCAGCTACTTACTACTGCTGCCCGGCATGGCCAGGTAGTTAGGGTCGCGGGTTCGAATCCCCGTGACACCAAACATGTTCGCCCTTTCAGCCGTAGGGGCGTTATAATGTGACGGTCAATCCCACTATTTGTTGGTAAAAGTGTAGCC